CTCTCTCTCTCTCTCTCTCTCTCTCTCTCTCTCTCTCTCTCTCTCTCTCTCTCTCTCTCTCTCTCTCTCTCTCTCTCTCTCTCTCTCTCTTGATGCAAGATTTCCCCTCTGTCTCCCCCCTACCCCACACAGCCAGCCGTGTGTTGTCATGCAACCTCCCTTCCTCTCAATCTGTGCAGCAGTAGTAGCACAATCACACAGCAAAAAACTATGTAGCCTCCAAAACACTATAGTCTTCTTAGACAGTAATGGCTTCCTGCTTCATGTCTGAAAAAGACTCTGAAGCAATGCTATGACAGTACCTCCTTGCCTCAGTATTGTCCCTCTCTAGGCTTTCTCCACCACATCCAGTGATGCATTGCCCTCCAACCTACCCCTCCATCGGCGCAGCACCAGTAAACAGACCACTAGCTCGCCCAGGCAAACTTCAGAATTGAAAATGCGACATTCTGGGTTCTTCGGGGGTTTGGGGGTTCGGGGGGCGGGGTCGGCCTGGCGGACCTCGTTGGCTTTCAGCTGCTCCAAAATGGAAACAAAACTGGGCCACGCCAGTTTGTGTTATTTTTGGTGCGCAGTACAAATTCACATCGGGAAAAAGAGGCTCGGAGGTACTGTCGGTTGCAGAAAACTACAAAGTCTTACATAACGATGCCCTCCTGCTTCAAAGCCTGCTACACCTGCAAACTCGAGAGGAATGATGAACTCTTAATAGCAGGAATAACAGGATGGCCCATGCACCCGAGTACTTGTGGTAGGATTGATCACAGGGAGGGCGAACTATGCATCCCTCTTCAGGTGACACGGGCCCACAGAATGAGAAACACGTTCCTCTTCCAGAGGCAGTGCAGTCCATCGCCCATACGTCCCACTTCTACTGACAGCAAAGCCCTCATGAAGACCAAGTACGACCAACACATCCTTCCTCCAGCCGCGAGAATCTGCACGATTACCGATCCATCCCGCCGCTTCCACTTGCATGCTTCCATTCATGGCACAGTCCACATAAGAACCAGTATATCCCTCCTCTGACCACAGCACTCTGCAGCATAACTCTTGCATCCATCTTCTGTTTGCAGCACACTACAGATCAACATACTTTGTGTGCATCTGTGTCTGTGTGTGTGCATCTGTGTGTGTGTGTGTGTGTGTGTGTGTGTGTGTGTGTGAGAGAGAGAGAGAGAGAGAGAGAGAGAGAGAGAGAGAGAGAGAGAG